TATCATGTCTGCAGTGCATGCGTGTACAGCGTTGTGGCCTACCCTGAATCTCACAGGCGCCGAGCTCCCGTGATTTGTCCAATGAATCCGAGAAAGGGGGGGGGGCAGCTGTCAGGAGCTGTCAGGTAATGGACTGGGTAATGAGTGGGGGAGCGGGAGCGTTACTACTACCCCCGCCCCTTTGTGCGAAAGTGCCCAGTGACACGTTACTGAGCCACGGTTTGCGGTATGCATGGAAACCACCGGATTGGACGCGACGTTAAAAAGCTAGCGAATACCGACAAATTTTATATTCACTAGAAGAAAAATAGTCGAGTGTAATCCTTGCTTGAGAATTTGAAACTTGACTTGACACAAATAGATGGCATTATTTAAATAAAAAGTACATCCCGCGGACTGCATTTCATGAATATATAGGTGTGCGGCCGTATGCGGCACGTGCGAAAGCGTGAAGCTTCATGCTCGGAGCCGTCTGCTCGACTTGACGCCTCCGATGTGAAGAGGGCTCCGACCGGGAGGCGCGGCCCCCTCCCCCCGGGGCCATTGGGGCCCAGAGGGGCTCCTCGTTACAACTAATGAGTGCTCGAGGGTACAGGGCGCTGCGCGGAGCTGCGCGGCCCCGCTCCTCCTCGAGATGTCGCGACACTCGACCCGCGGGCCCGGACGGGCGCGGGCTATACGGCCGCTCACAACGACACAGCGAAACCCGCCGCGTCGCAGGAGATCCGCGCGGCATTTCACCTCCTCACCAATACACTTTTTACTTCACGCGGAGAAATATTTCCGTTGCCGTCAGCGCAGGCAAGCCGCCATAGGCCAGGAGGTCGAGACGGGCGGTTATCTCTGAGCGGTTTTTGTCTTGTGCTTCCCTCCCGTTGAAGCGAAGAGCAAGAGGTGATTGCGCCTCATCAATCTACCGCAGTGTAAGCGGGCCCGCGTTGCGGTCAGGCCTCACGCCATCTCTCACAGGGCAATGTTTTGGGACGCCCCCTCCCTTTCCCCTCTCTCCCGGCTGCGGCTGCTCAGCAGGGTGACCAGGGGACCTGGGGCGGCAGCACATGTGAGCGATCACAGGAGGGAGGTGCCGTAAATGTATAAATACATGTAACAGGTCGATAGTGAGCGGGGCGTTACCTTATTTAGGAAATCATAGAGCAAAGCAGCCCACTTCACTTCACACTAAGTAAAGCTCACCTGTATTTTTTAATTTTTTTT